TTTTTGAAGGACAATTTCCCCTTTGTTTTAGAGATTTACTTGAATTCTAAAAAAAATAGAAAACTTATTTCAGTATTGGTTGTCCAAGTAGTGGTGATTCCTTACCTCCCTTTAAATCTGTGGATGATTCAGATTTTTAAAATGTTTTTTAAGTATATAGCCTTCCATTATTTGAATTTTGTTAGCCATTTCTTGGCTAAAAATCTTCAGAAATACAGAAAAGTATAGAGAGTAATATAAGAAGCCCTCATTATCCCCCAGAATTTAGCTGCTAGCTTTTAGCCAGCTCACAATTGATGTATTTTTGAAGGGCTTCACATTTGTTCTATGATTATGAACCATTTGTACTATGATTATGAACAATACTGCCAAGAATCTAAAGATAGAATTTTAGTACTATTCTTTTTGAGGAAAATTTTTCCTGGACAGCTTTATGTTTAATACTGTACCTTTAAAAACATGTAAAAATGGAAAATATAGATATATTTGGTCTTAGGCATTTTGAAGGATTTATTTTTATGCAGTCAGTGGAGTATTTGTTTAAATAACTTTGAATACTGATACCTGCCAAACTTATAATGCATCACAGTGCAGCATATTCAAATGATTTTTAGCAGAACATTGTCAGGAAAAAATAAGCAAATTTTCTTACTATTGGACCCATACCACCTCCTTAAATATATATTGGGAGGATATATAACATACCCAGTAGCACATTGGCGTGATGTAGAAGTATAGGAGATTACATTTAAGAACATTTTTATTTTGTTTTATTATTTTAGTTTGCTTCCTGAACAATCTTAAATGCAGAATGTAAATTGAAGAATTGCATTTCTGAAAAGCAAAATACGTTATTCAGATTCAACTGCATTTTTACTTTCCTTTATGCCTTGACTGCTGTACACATTCTGATGTATAATGAGAACAAAGGATTCGAAAGCATTCACTTAGAAATCCTCCCCTGTTTTCTCAGTTGCAACCCTAAATCTGTGTATTGTTTTCAGACTACTTAGTCCAAAAACATTTAGAAATTCATCAGTGGAAAATATTTAGAGGTCACTTACAAAAATAAACTAAATGCTTAATTAAATGGTTCTGCATTTTGCAATCAGTTCTTTTCAAACAGCAGTTTAATGTTTTGTCCCTTCTAAGTTTATTAATTGAGAAATATGATGGGATTCCCAGAAGACTACATTGTATTAGCTTTAAATCAGTCCTTCCCCCTTTGGTAATTTTATGTAGTTATCTTAGTAAATATTATATAATTATTTTTAGATGAGAGATTTGTCACATTTTTAAATGTTTGTTGAATGATCTAGTGCATTTTTTAAGTACATCTAGCTATGCACTCCAAAACCAATTTGTGAGATCAACTACCAGTTGAGAAAGCACTTACGGTAATTTTTGTGGTTATTAATTTAGCTTCGCTGGACTGAAAGTTTTGTATGGATAGCAAAAAAGGAAAACAATGTTAATTCCTTTTAGAAGATACCCTTGTGTTATAACTTCATGTACTCTTGAAAATTATCTTTAGGAAATTCCTTATACTGTCTCCCTAGGGAAGAGAGGTGATTCCTTCAAATATTGTCTTTTATAATTATGTTAAAATGAAATGTTGACTTCCTTGGAGTCCCTTATAAGCCTTGGTAGGGAGGTGGGCGTGTGATGGAGGATTTCTCCAATCCATGTTTTTGTGTTTTAAACAAAGGCTGGAAAGTAATCTGGGAATAATGTATATGATGCAGAAAGAAGATAAAAATGGAACATGCAGTATGTCACTTATCTAGTCTGTACAATATTTAGATTCCTTTCACTGGCTTTTTTCTTCAGTTGTCTGTACTAACTAACTGGCTATTTTGGTGAATTGTTTGAGCAAACTGCCAGGAGAATTACACTTTATTCTTTATATTCTGTTAGAAAAATCCAATAATATATGTAGCATATCTGCAGGTAGCATCCACATTTTCTACTTAGGCGTATGGCAACATAATCCATATACTAGGTTGTGTGCAAGTTAGAAGATGAACCTGTGATAACTGGGTCTTTATTTGTCTTTATCAATCACCCCTAGAAGGCTTCCCTTGTTTCACTTTATTGAGAGAAGTACAAGGGAGGGCAGCAGTTCCTGTATAGACTGCTGAGATTCTAGCAATGGTGAAAGCCTTGCCTCTTCCTCCATCTTTTATTAAAAAAGGACTTTGTCATGACCAGGTAGTTCTTAATAGCAACTTTTAGCTCATAACATGAACAATTTTAGGTCAAAGAGATATTTCATTGAATATGTGTTTAAAATGTTTAGCAGACTCTTTTCTTTGGAATATGCTTTGCCTAATGAGTATATTTTTCCAAGTGAATTTATCTGTAAAGCAAAGATTTTTTATTACTATTATACTTTAAGTTCTGGTATACACGTGCAGAACGTGCAGGTTTGTTACATAGGTATACACATGCCATGGTCGTTTGCTGCACCCATCAACCCGTCATCTACATTAAGTATTTCTCCTAATGCTATCCCTCCCCTAACCCCCTACCTACTGACAGGCCCTGGTGTGTGACGTTCCCCTCCCTGTGTCCATGTGTTCTCATTGTTCAACTCCCACTTATGAGTGAGAACATGTGGTGTTTGGTTTTCTGTTGCTGTGTTAGTTTGCTGAGAATGATGGTTTCCAGCTTCATCCATGTCCCTGCAAAGGACATGAACTCATCCCTTTTTAAGGCTGCATAGTATTCTACGGTGTATATGTGCCACATTTTCTTAATCCATTCTGTCACTGATGGACATCTGGGTTGGTTTCAAGTCTTAAGCAACGAGTTTTTTTAAACCTGTGTATGCATGACATTTTAGTTGTGCTTTTGAGACATAGCTATGGTTTCCCATACTAATGCTATTCCAAATTCTTTATGGGATTTGAGAAAGAGGAGCTAGCAATTTAAGTAAGTATTTTTATGGTCATAACTATAGTCAAATCCTTCATCTGTCTGACCTGCAATGATAAAAATCAGCTATTACTATAAAAGGCACAAAAGTTAGGGACTGAGTGCCAGAAAGTGAGCTGGGAGAAGGAATTCAAATAATATTGAGCATCTACTATGTGCCAGGCTAAATAGAAGACACTTTCTATATTAGCTCATTAAATTATTTGATAGCCCATAATTTACTTAAGAAACTATAACTTTGTAAAGAGGGACAGAAAAATGTTTGAACACTATTATAAATGTCTACCAATATTCTTAGAAGCCCAAAGTTTATTTTTTTTCACAGGTTATAAGATATAATGCCAAGTGAACACAAGCAGTAACCCACGTTCTGTATACCACCTGATGCCAGTTTTAAAAATATGTATTCACATACAAGGGTAGAAAAAAGGCATAGAAGGAAATTTGACAAATTATCTGTGGTTATCTTCCAGCGGTGGAGATTTACATTATTTTCTTTTTTTCGATATAGCTTTCTAAATTTTCTATAGCACATGTACATTTTATAATTAGAAAGGAGTTATAAAAACATGTGAACAAAGAAGTGAACTTAGTGTTCCTAAGTTTGAGACTAAGCTCTCTAGACCAGTAATTTAACAACCAGAATTTGTACTGGTCATGCCAGTTCTTTGTTTTTGACTACGCTGGAATGCGAATACACATCTCTCTCATCCAACAGTACATTGAAATGGTTGAGGGTTTTTTGTTTGTTTTGATAACAGTTAAATGCTGAGTTAAAACCTAATCTAGATGGTCTGTAAGATTGACTTTGGAAGTTATTTAGCAAACGGTATAGAGTCAGGCCATCTTGGTATGAATTATGCAGAGAAGCAAAATAGTTCTAAATAAATACTGAGTAAGAATTATATTTCAAACATTACTAAAATATAAACTCAACACTTACCTTCATACTTAAATGAGAATTTATGGTGAAATTCCAAATTTTAAAGGCTAATCTAATGATTAGAGTAAATGCATCTGACATATTTTTCTCATCAAGTATCTAACAGCAGTTACTCTATGTATAGAAAAAATATATTGTTTCTGTATATTAAGGCAAATATTGAAGGCTTATTAAAAGGCCTTGTCGGGCTGTTTTCAGAGTTAAAGGACTCTGAAATGCCTAATGCTTAAGAAACAGCTGATGGGGGTTAGGGAAGTGTAAAATCTTGGGGAGTTTTGGATACTGGTAATGCCATGTGGTGCTGGTAGGTTAATTCCAGTGTTTCTTTCAATGAAATAGGCACTGTGGCATCAGTAATAAAAATTGTGAAGTAGATTATTGAAAATTGACCTGTTTCCTATTTAGTGACTTGGGAAAACGGTAAATTTGGTGGATGTTGAGAACCAATAAATGTTATACTCTTACTTGAAAAACAACTTTTAAAAAGAAACATTATACAGTATTTATTTAGATATTTTACTTCTCCATAGTTCTAGAAGAGTACTCAAGTCTATTAAGTTTTGCTTTGGAGTAAAAGACTAAATTTTAAGACCTTGATCAGTATATATATATTCATTTCTGCTCATAAATTGATGAAAGCATTCCATGTTTTATTGTATGGCAACACTTTTATGTGCTATAAATTAGTTTCTCTCTTCTCTAAATAACTAATAATAAATCTTAATTTTTAATTTGCTTTTCTTTGCTTATTTCTCCTGATTTTCCCTTCAGTCCTTGAGAGTCTAAATTTGTGCTGGTCAAACTGGTGGCCATGAGCCACATGTGATTATTTAAATTAAAAGTAGTTAAAATTAACTAAAATTCAAATTTTGGCTTCTCATTTACACTAGCCACATTTCAAATGCTTAGTAACCACCTGTGGCTAATGACTGCTCTCATTGGAGGCACAGATGATGGTGTTTTCCCTCATTGAAGAAAGTTCTGCTGGAAGGCACTATTCTAAATTGTCAGGACAAGTTAAAAATTCTTCGGGCATATCTTCCCGTATCTCAGAGTATGCATTTGTATTTCACTTCAACTTTCCTCTTCTATTATTTCATTTTACTTTTCTGTTTTTCAGTTTAAAAGGATGCTTAATCGGGAGCTCACCCATCTCTCTGAAATGAGTCGGTCTGGAAATCAAGTGTCAGAGTTTATATCAAACACATTCTTAGGTGAGAATAACAACATGCAATTAAAAATGTTTTCTTCAGTTGTTTGCTTGTTTTTATAGGAGGATTGGGGTGCCAACTCATTTTGGAAACCTAACATTTTGGAACTTCTAACAAGTGTTAGAAGTTCTATTTGTTTTCATTTGTCATATTAATAATTTGACACTATATGCCTCTGAATTTTAGAGTTGCAGGTGAAAAACTACATGTTCTTAGTTTTATTTAGGACTTTGGGAATTCTCAAATTAAGGTTATATATTGCCATTTTTTCATAGTACCAAACTGTAAAATATATTTTATAGAGAGATCTATTCATGTATTCAACCAATTCTTATTAAATGCCAGCCATTGTTGGGCAATAGGTGTTGAATGATGAATTAGAAATGATTCCTACCCTCGATGAATTGACAGTCTCGTGGACATCAAGCCTAGTAAACTGGTGGTGGATAAAATACAAATGCTAAATAAAAGTTTGCTAATAATGGCTGAGTTTGGTGTCCTGGGACAACTCTTGTACCTCATCCACAGAAAGAAAATGCAGTAAATAAAGGGCAGTAATTTGAACGTATCCTGGACTTACTTTCAAAACAAAATTGCTGTTATATATAGTTAACATATTAAACACTTACAGAACGTGTTCTATGTACAAGGATGAGTTAGAGTTGTTTATCACTGCCTTGAAATCGTGGATGAAAGTATGAAGACATGTTAGGTCTTTTACTATAGAACACAATTAGCTTATGTGTGTATTCAGTTATCAGGTAATATTTACGATTCTCTATATTCCCATAAAACCTGGGGACTTAACCCTTATCTCACTATCATACAGAAATAAAAAGTAGCAGAATTAATCTAAGTCATCCAAAACCTGCTGTTTCAACTCCCACAGTGTTACCCATTTCAGTTAGCTGTTAGTTTTATATACTGCTGTTTTCATGACATTTGTATATAAAGTTTCTACCATTTCAAAGTACGTATTGAAACTGGAGTCCTTAGTTGGCAAGAACAATTTTCAGTTCATTAAGTCAATTTCAGATAGGAATGGAATTGATGAACAGTGGAAATAACCACCTGTTGTGTATTCTCTGAGTCGGCTGTCATGCTAAGTCTTGCAACATTTTTTATTAGGACATTGTATCAAAGAGGTAACCATGGAATGCATTTGATATTATTATTTTGTAGTGGAACTTATTTGCTTAATTTTGTGTTTGAAGATATCAAATTAAGTCCAATTCAAATGTAAATACTGAACTCTCTAAAAGGAAAATTTTTAGTTGGGAACATTTCCTGGAATATATAATGATCAATTATAATCCTTCCAGTTATGCATATGATGATATAAAAACAGATAGAATTAATAATAAATATAGAACATTTTCTGAATTTCTCAAGATAAGCAACATGAAGTGGAAATTCCTTCTCCAACTCAGAAGGAAAAGGAGAAAAAGAAAAGACCAATGTCTCAGATCAGTGGAGTCAAGAAATTGATGCACAGCTCTAGCCTGACTAATTCAAGTATTCCAAGGTTTGGAGTTAAAACTGAACAAGAAGATGTCCTTGCCAAGGTATGATGATTTCAAAGATCAGGATCATAAATATTAAATGATGCCCTTTTATGAATTTTCACTTCTAGTCTGTTGAATAGATAGAAAAGTTTATTAATTGGAGGTTTTATTTTTTGTTTTTTGTTTTTTTTTTGAAGGGCAGGCATTTTATAAAGCTCTTGTAAAGTGCCTTAGACAGGTGGTTTGGTATGTATGTTTTAGGGGCTTGGGAGGTGATTATTTGCATCTTCATTTCATTGTTTGGCCTTAAAGAGTTAGAAATCTGTCTTGTCTTCTGGGTTTTAGGAAAACAGTTAAGGTTTTGTGAATAGATTTTATCCATTAAATGCTTTGTGATTGATACTTAAAGTACATAAATATGTTGTAATGTCAACGTCCTAAGGTTAAGCCATACTATTCAGTTTTCAGTACATTTAAGTAAATGTGCCTAAAGTTTGCCTATGCTTACATGGTGTGTCTGTTAACATTTAAAATGGATCATTGTTTAAAAAATCTAACAATCTTTACACTGAAGTCTGTTTTTTTGGGGGTTTTTTTTGTTTTTGTTTGTTTGTTGGTTGGTTGGTTGGTTTTGAGACGTAGTCTCACCCTGTCGCCCAGGTTGGAGTGCAGAATGCATTGGCGCGATCTTGGCTCACTACAACCTCCGCCTCCCGAGTTCAAACAGTTCTCCTGCCTCAGCTTCCCAAGCAGCTGGGATTACAGGCACACACCACCACACCTGACTAATTTTTTTATTTTTAGTAGAGACGGGGTTTCACCACGTTGGGCAGGCTGGTTTCGAACTCCTGACTTCAAGTAATCCGCCCGCCTCAGCCTTCCAAAGTTCTGGGATTACAGGCTTAAGCCTCCATGCCCGGCCACCTAAAGTCTGTAATTTTTCAATGATTGAGTTCATTGAGTCATATTTTACTCTACTTTCTAATTTTTTGGTATCTTTTTTTTTTTTTTTTTTTTTACTCCAGGAACTAGAAGATGTGAACAAATGGGGTCTTCATGTTTTCAGAATAGCAGAGTTGTCTGGTAACCGGCCCTTGACTGTTATCATGCACACCATTTTTCAGGTAATGTGGTTGAGTTCTATTACATTTCTTTTATTTAGGAACTTAATGTCCAGTCTGTAGCTTGTGCATACATTTTGTCTTTTTTAATATTTGCCATCTTTTGCTTATTTTTATACTTTTATCCTTATTTGCTCCTTTGCCAAGGGACAAGTAAAGATACAGAAAGGTGGAGTGTGTATAAACCACAAATACATCAATTTTGTTATTTTTTTGCATTTAAGATAAAGATGTAATATAGCCAAGTTGAAGCAATTTATTAAAATAATAATTTAGACATTATCTTAGTCATCTGAACCTGACTGGCATAGAAAATGGAGTACTAACTTTAAAAAAAATGAATAAAGCCCCTGCTGGCTAACCTGAGAATATAGTTTTTTCAGTCACTTTTTTGTGTCCTGCTTCTTTCTCCGTATCTATTTTGTGCTCTTATTGATGCTTTGCTCCAGCTCAGGGTGGGATTTAAATGAGAAGTTGAGGCTGTTGTAGATACCTTGGGACTGGAATGGGAAACTCCAGCCCTAGAGAGGATGTTGATTTTCAGTTGGTGTGATGCAGGGGTTGAATTAATAGTGCTTGACTGGAGCTGCCTCCATGATAATGGGGCACAGAAACTTTTAGAGTTGGCACCTCATTCCTGACACCATACAGCTAGGGCGTAGTATTCTTGGGTTCCAGCAGGACAACCCAACTTTGGTTTTGTCCCAAAGTCCCTGGATCTTCTCAAAGGTTCCCATTTTCCTCACTAGACATGTGAGAGTGCAGTTGCCATTTCCAGGTTATCCATTGGCAATACTGGTGTGTGTGTTTTTTTTTTTCTTAAACATACTCTATGGAGAAATTGTTTACATAAAGACAAAAATGTTAAAATGATTTTTTTTTCCCTACAGGAACGGGATTTATTAAAAACATTTAAAATTCCAGTAGATACTTTAATTACATATCTTATGACTCTCGAAGACCATTACCATGCTGATGTGGCCTATCACAACAATATCCATGCTGCAGATGTTGTCCAGTCTACTCATGTGCTATTGTCTACACCTGCTTTGGAGGTAAATCTGTTTTCTGAAATTTCAAGAACACTAACTTGCCACTCATAAAGGTCTATTAAACTTTTATCTGAAGGGTTTTCAATGGAGAAAATAATTGGATTCATTGGAAGTATAATTTATTGACTTATGGGGGAAAATGCTGTGGTGAATAGACAGTCAAGTCTTTGATGGATTTTGCTTGTGACAGTTGGTCACAGATTTAATGATTGATCTGTTTATGATGTTGCTTCTTTGAAATGATCCACTGGACATTTCATAAAGCACATCTGGCTTATTCACTTTTTGTTAATTTGTTTTCTTGAAATGTAGTCTGACGGCTTTTATTTATAGGCCAAAGAACGTTTTATAAAACATGAGCAATATATTGATATTTTTCATAGAATTATATTAGAAGGAAATACTTTAATTTTTCTAAATCCTAAGAAGTTATTTCGTTAGTTGTTTACTAAAGCAATTTGATTTTCTTAAAATATATTTTTATTTATGTCTGGAGGCATTTTTGGTTGTTTACAACTATCACATTTTTAGTTGTACATGATACTGGCATCTTGTCGGTAGAGGCCAGGAATTCTGCTAAAAATCCTACAATGCACAGGACAGCCTCCCACGCAGTTATCGGGCCCAAAATGTCAATAGTGCTAAAGGTGAGAAACCCTGGTTTTGATGAAAGAAAAGAAAAAAATTGCTCATGTCTTACTAATTTTATGTACATTTTCAAAATATTCTTAGACATCTTAAATACTTAGAAAATAAACTATTATTTTATTTTAAAAGAATTTCAGAGAGTTTTAAAATAATATTTTAAAAAATAGTGAATAGAAAACATTTGATCATGAGATGTAATAAAATTAGATAAAATGTTTTCCAAGATTATACTTCAAAATTTCATAAGTATCTAAGACTCTCCCTTGACACATTATAACACATTTTGAAGCTCCATTTTGTTTTCCATTTAAATTCTAGAGATTTCTCATTTGTTTATACTTTTAATTCATATCATTGTAGAATAGTAATATTATCTATATTATCTGATTTTCCAGGCCGTGTTTACAGATTTGGAGATTCTTGCAGCAATTTTTGCCAGTGCAATACATGATGTAGATCATCCTGGTGTGTCCAATCAATTTCTGATCAATACAAGTAAGTAAACTTTATTTTTGCAGAACACATTTTTCCTTTGTACATTTTAGAATGACTAAGGGTCTCTATAAACTCAGGGTGCTTCCAGAGCCATAATGTTCTTTTGATATGTGTTTTAGTGATAGTGCATGTTAATGTAATTTAACTGAAAATTATTACTATATCCCTTGAGGCATATGATATTTGAAAATTGTGTTCCAGTTCTCTTTAAAAGTAATATATTGCTGTGTTAAAGGGTAATTAAAAATGAAAGTGTGCAGAAAGATTTAGAAAGTTATATTGGCCTTAAAGTTTTAAATTAAAAAAAGTTATGAGAATTAATGCTAAATGTTCCTCACTTTATGTAGGTCATCATTTAATCCTCTACAGAGGCCATAACTTCCCTTCTTTCTCCATGCCCAGCCCCTGTTCTTTCCTTTTTAAAATATTCTAATAAGGGTAACAGGAACTTCTCTCTTAATATTTTTTCAACTATTTAGTTTTTTCTCACTGTTCACATCTCATCTTATAAGAAGTCATCACTGAATTTGGAAATATAAGGAATGGTAGAGACTGTTTAATATGGAGCATCCCTGACATTGCTGCACAGAAAGCCTCTGTAGGGAATGTTTAGGTAATGCTTGAGCTATCCCTTAGTAAAGAGATTTAGGTTTATAGAAATTCTGTTTGGTACTTGAAGTTAATTGGTAAATGATTTAAGTGAACTATGACTTAATGCCCTCCCATAGGTAGATTAACATCATAAATTCACTTTTATATATAAAAACTATGCAAAGTTGTTGAAACTGTTGTATGTTTAAGAGTCCACCTTTTATGTTTGCTTGAGTCTGTGGATGATAGTCTTCTCATGCCTATAACAATCTAGCTATAGAATTATTTATATATTCACCATTCATTTCCTGTCTTTGCTGTATCTAGATTTAAAGAAGGAATGTAAAGGTAACCTTGCTTTGAGAGATTTAATTCAGAGTTTTAGGATTATTCACCTATTTTTATATCTTGTAATGGCCTCTGGACTATCCTATAGCAAAATATACTCTAGTGACTCATCCATGTAGAGGATTGGAAAAGTCAGGAATTTCCTGATGTGTGGTTAGTCAAGTATTTTTTTTAGAAGTTTAGTTTAGGGACTTATTTATCCAGATTAGACAGGATAACATTTCATGTTCTACCTACCTATGAGTACCTATAATGGGGTACTTTTAGAACTCATCAAAGCATACATATAAATATTAATACACATTGGATGCAGCTCCCTGCATTTACATTGTATCAGTGGGGAGGGTTCATGATGTCCTTTCTGAGAAGAGCAGGGAGGTCATGCAATACAGTGCATGCTGCATGCTGGCACTTTACATGAGCCTGGCCTGGTTTGTTATTTTGATGCTTATGCATGTCTTGGGATATTCTGAATTTTATTAATTTTTAGTAAATATATAAAATGTTTAATTTTTGTGTTTAAGATATATATATATGGATATGTATGTATGTGTGTGTGTGTATGTGTGTGTATGTAATCACCAAACATTCAGACTGGTATGTTTTCTTTGCATTCTATTACATACCATGTTATATGTTCCCTTAGAATTAAGAGTAGATTTAGAGAACAAATTAAAACAACTGATAGAAAAGTCACTGTCTTCCAAGTACTCTGATGTATTTTTTAAGAATAATGAGGACCTGCTCTATTCTTCATTCTTTTGAGCCCTTAAAGCAGCAGTCCCCAGTGTTTTTGGCACCAGGGACTCGGTTTTGTGGAAGACAATTTTTCCATAAACTGGGAGAGTAGGGAGAGAATGGTTTTGGGATGAAATTGTTCCACCTGAGATCATCAGGCATTAGTTAGATTCTCATAAGGAATGCACAACTTAGATCCCTTGCATGAGCAGTTCACAGTAGAGTTCACGCTCCTAGGAGAATCTAACGTCCCTGCTGATCTGACAGGAGGCGGAGCTCAGGCAGTACTGATGCGGGCTTGCCTGCTGCTCACCTCCTGCTATGCAGCCCAGTTCCTGACAGGCCACAGACTGATATTGGTCCACGGCCTGTGGGTGGATTGGGGACCCCTGCCTTAAAGGGCACTTGGGCTTTGGCTGGCACCTGGAGGACCCTGGTGGGCATCAGGGTCCCTGTGCAGTCTGCCATTTAAGCTAACAAGGCCTCAATCTACAGATGAATCTGATACTCTAAAGTTTGAGAACCAATGAAATAGTGGAGGAAATTGAAGAAGATAATTGTATCTCCTTAGGATGTCTGTTTAAAGTCATTTTGCTGGTGACCTGCCTGGGATGGAAGGATAACGAATCCTGCTTCTGCAAATTCTTTGTTATTTAGTAATATTGTGATGATCTCCTTTCTGTGTGACCAAAGCAACATAGGGAAGTTCACAGTTGCCAGAGTAGCTTTGGATTGCTAAGGGTTTTTTTGAGGGTGAGGTATGATGAGGCTGTGTTATTCCTGAGGGAATGAATCAGCATTGTCACTTTGTACAGGAAAGTATCCTAGGGTTGCTCAGAGCCCCGGGGCATTATCAAAATTACTGCCTTAGTTAGCTTAGTTTGGCTAGGGATCATATAAGACAGAATTATCTTCCCAGCATGCAGTAAAGGAGTCCTTCCAATAACTTGTAAACTTGTAATATGTAGCCTCATGAAATATTTTATCAAAATTTGTGCTTATTTTTAGTTTGCAGTAAACCTTTTTAAAATTTTGACTTTTTAGATTTTATCTTTTATGGATGGCTTGAGCATCCGTTTGTCAAGCCAGCACATTCTCAGCTCTTGGCTCTGAGCTGGAGCTGCCATCCTGTCCAAAGCCTGCAGCTGAATCCATATTTCTCTTGATAAAGAATTCTAAAGACCTCTGATTATCGAATTTATAAACCCATAGTTGGTTACTTGTCTTACTTTAAGGAAGCTACGGAAGCACTGAGAGCTTAAGGCACGTGAGGGGCGCTGGGAATTCCCTTGGCTGGTTCCCAGTGCAGTTAAGCCTCCTGCTTCTTACATGTGCTCTTCGTTTTTCTTAGTTATTTCAGTTGTTTTAGCTTTAGGTGCCACATGATTTTATGCTGATTGTATTTACACTCACTGAAAGCATGCTGGAGGTACTGCAAGCAGAGAGAGCCTTTCTACCTGGTAGAGTTGGTTAAGCTATACTAAATGATTTGAGTGTGGGGACTGTGAATAGAATTTAGAGAAATGGAAATTTCAGGTAGGAAGCTGCATAAATTTTTTTTAAGGACAATGCATATAAATAAATCCATAGACCAGGTGCAGTGGCTCACTCCTATAACCCCAGCACTTTGGGAGGCCAAGACAGGTGAATCACCTGATGTCAGGAGTTCGAGACCAGCCTGGCCAACAAGGTAAAACCCTGTCTTTACTTAAAAAAAACAAAAACAAAAACATTAGCGAGGCATCGTGGTGCATGCCTGTAATCCCAGCTACTCAGGAGGCTGAGGCAGGAGAATCGCTTGAACCCGGGAGGTGGAAGTTGCAGTGAGCCGAGATCATACCATCGCACTCCAGCCTGGGCAACAAGAGTGAAACTCCATCTCAAAAAAATACATAAATAAATAAACAAATCCATAAAATGTAAATAGCATCATGAAATTTTGAATGTAAAATGCTGGATGGTATATTTAACTTAGCTTTATTTTCTGAAAAAAATAGTATCAAAAGTACAGAATATAGCATTAAATTTTACTTGGAAAATGAATTATTTTTGTTAATAGCAAAGATGCCTAAGTTTGGGGCAGAAAGATTTATTCACATTAGTGATACATTCAAAGCATGTGGTTTTTGGTTTCCAAGAGCAGAGGCATTTCATTATATTAAGGTTAAGATGATCTAGCTGTCAGTATACACTTTTTTATTTCTCTACTCTTATTTTGAAATTAAAATTTTCATAGCTACACTAGTAGATTATATGTAGAATTTTATTTTTCTGCATAAACCCACACCTTCAAAATAAGGATAAACTCATTTTTATCAAATGTGATTATATAGATATAGCTACAGAGATTATTTTATTGAATAAAAATGTACTGCAAGCCTACTAAAAATTATAATAAATATTGTTCCGGGCACTCGGAACACATGGGTGGACAAGACAAATCCCTGGCTCTTAAGAGCTGGCATTCTGCTAGAAAAGGCAGAGCATGATAAGTGAATTTGTGGCATGTGATAGTACTAAGTGCTATGGAGGAACATAATGCAGGGTGAGGGCAGAGAGAGTGGATGAGTGGAGTGATGAATGAGGCGGTTTCCTTGGCAACTAAATATTAAGTTAAAACCACCACTTACCTCTGTCATTTCATGGAGAAATGTTTGTTTCTGAAGTCCTTTTGAAGACTTATGTTTATTTCACTTGTAACTTAGAGACATAGTGTAGCATGCTGTCATTTTCTAACTCAAGGCTAAGCCTAGCTAAGCTGTAAGAACAGTGAGTATAAGTCTTACTTATAGGATACATATCTATAGTGTCTGGCCCAGTCTTAACTGTTTCAGCTCCAGGTCTTAATGTTGGCTGTCATCTGCCATATGGACTCCATCATAAGACACAAAAAGGCACAAAACCTAGTGGGCTTAGTTGGATTTTGGAGGCAATGTATTCCTTTGTGTGTGTTATTCTGGCTCATGTACTAAGTGAGCTGAAAAGCTGCTAGTTTAAATGGGGCACGGAACAAGAGAGCGTCAGAAAAACTCCTAGTTTTGAGTGGGGCTCTGCAACAGGTCCAGCCTGCTGTGCAAGCCGGTTTGCACATGGGCCACATGATCCAGCAGATTTAATGGTGCTTGGAATGTCAGTGGCAGATAGGAATGTTGTTTGGAGCCTTTGATAGAGCCCTCTGTGTGAATCACAGCACAGACTCTGGAGCAAGACCCTGCCATCATCCAAAGAAAGATAACTACTCTCCTTTTGAGACACAGATATAGGCCTGCTGCTGGGCCTTAGGAGATACTGATTGACCATGGGCCACCAAGTTTCCATGTGGT